ACTCAAGTATATACACAGAATAAATAAATAATGTAATGACAAAGATTCATAAGAACAAATAGTAATTCCTATACACGAAAGAGATGGGAGAATTTCACTCTTCAATAATTCCACTTACTGGAATACCCTATACATACCCTTTTTCAGAAATTTTATTTTTGAATTGACAAAAAAGAAATACACACACATACACACACACACACACACACACACACACACACACACACACACACACACACATATATATATATATATATATACTTCATGATGTTTTGTATGCATATTTCACTATGTATACATTGTGACATAACTACATCATAACTCATAAAAATTGCATATATTGTATTTTACAAAATATAAACATAAATTTCAAATGTCTCACCACAAAAAATGAGATAAGAAACATAAATTAGCTTGATATTAAACCCATAATCTTAAAACATTATGTTGTTTCCCACAAAGGCATACAATTAGGCCTAATTAATACCAATTAAAATAATATTAACTTTAAAAATCAACGTTAATTTCTCCTAAATCTCTGGCTAGTTCTTGTTATCAAAAAGTTGGAACTGGACATAACTGAAGAGAAATTATATCTCCTGAAGATGTGAAAGAAGTCAACCAAGCCACTGTTCACATGTATGTGTCTTTATTCTTAACCAAAAAGTGTGAATATAAAAAGCAAGTTGCTAAAAATATGACATGTGTTGGAGAGTACTATTTTTCACTATGGAATGACTAGCATAAAAAATACCACCTACTTACACTCTTGCAAAGCCTCCCACACTGCAGCAAGCTCCACTTTTCTGGGCTGAGTGTCTTATTGATGAAACAAAAAAATCATTTTTAGAATTCATCTAAGTGCCAGCTCTCTTATTTGATGCAATTGTAGACAAATGTACTATGGTATTTGTTACAGACTTCTGTATTTTGGAATCAACCACTTGTTTAAATATATGCAAGTTTTTGCTAGGTAATCATTTCCTTCCATACAGTACTTTCCTAATGACCTAATTGTATCATTCTGGGAGGGTTTTGCCTTGCCTCTATAGGTCAAGTTTCAACTTCTTAGCTGACAAATTGTGTTAAAGAGATAACATTAAACAACTGTAACCTATCTTCATTGCATTATCTCCAGCAATTAAATTATCCTTATTAAAAAGCTGGTTTATTCATAGCAAGATAAACTAAATAGTTTACCATTTTGTCCCCAGAAAAGAATTTTAAAGTAGAAGCACTGTTCTCAGGCTGTTCTAATGGTAGAAAATTTTGTTTTGACTTCTAACCAGTTTTTCTCTTTAAGGAGATTTTGAAAACAAATAAGTAAAAGCTCAAATTAAATATAACTGTAAAAATGAAATTATTCAAGAATGGATTATTTGCAATTAAAAGCATAACTTTCTACATGCCTATACAGGAAAATAGAACTCATTCTAAAACTCAGTGCTCATATTCTTTACCGTACTTTATTCATACTTAGTGTTTCATAATCATAAATTATCCTTATAGAGAACATATTTTAACATGTCCACTCTGGGGATCAGTGGTACTCAGTCCTATGATGTAAGAAAAGTTGTTTGAAAGTGGGAAATTGTATAGCTCAGTACAAGTCAGAGTTAATATTTACCTATCAACTGGTCAGAGGCACTCAGTACCCTGTAACTAGAGATATTCCAGGGCTGACGATACTCCTTCTAATATCAATATTCATTAACTCCCACATTTCCAAAGCAGCAACCCATATTCTGGGTTGTTTGATGTTGTCTCGTCTTTAAAACAAATATTGAGGCAAAATCCAGAGCAAAGTTTATACATTCAAAAAGAAACAGATCAAAGAGAAAAGAACAGACCAAAATTCTTTGACTGGGAACTGGATCCCTTTTTACCACTGGTTTATTTCATCAGTGGCTTGTGTGTAAAACAGAAGAGGGAAATATTCTTGCCTTCATTAACAAGTTTTACACACATAACTATCTCAATTACCCACCAATAAATCCTTTAATGTGCACGTTATATTTATGATAGTGATAGAAATGATTTCACATCTAATTATTGAGGCTAATCTTTAGTATTTCAGAAAACTCTATTTACTTTATGACATATAGTAAATACCATTGCCCACACTCACAGCACAAATATATACAGATACATACATATTCTTTTCAAATGTTATAAAAAGAAAGTTTACCCCGAAGCAAGGATGATGAGTAGCACAATATCCTGTTCTTAAAGCCTGAGGTTGACAGCTGTATTTAATGATACTGATGATTTAAAACTGAGCTAGATTAGATTATTATACTATCCTACACACTTGTTTATGTATCTAATCCCTGCCAGCATCATCCAGGTACTTTAAAGCAACCACAAAACTAAAGTTTATGTATGCAGCTTTGCCTTAGTAAAAAGACCACTGGAATGGAGGGGTAAAAAAAAGTCAAACTGTCAAATAATGCTCCCAAATAGGTGCCTTCAGCATTTTTACTCCTTTTTCAGCGGAGTAAAAACAATGGAGGTTTTCTAGTATAGAGCCATCACAGAACAATTCGAACAGAAGCAATCTGAGAAACCCAAGCCAGTGGACGCTGCTGTAAGAAAGCCATTCCAACAAGCGATGTCACCACAGACCACATGTTTCTCAGAGGTCAAGTATTCCAAATGTGGGGTCAAAAGCCGACAACACAAATTTGATGGATGCATCAACTATGTCCTAGTAAGGCTTGCCCAACTTGCCTCGACTGTCAGCTTTGACCCCCACAGAAGTATGCCCCTGAGACAACTTCTTAACATCCCCAATAGAACTTTTCTTCTAGCATTCCTTCATTTTCCTTCCCAGTCATCCTCAACACTCTCTTTCCACCAAAGCCTTCTAGTCCTCTACCCTGGGCTTCCCCGGCAAGACTAGTACCCTGTGGCTGTGAGAACCATCACCTAGGGCGTAGGAGCACTAAGGTTAAGTCGTGATCCTTGACTAACCCCAGGCAAAAGTTTCCACAGTGGTCATGATGCTTTTGTTCCTTTAAACAATGTCGTGTCTATGTATCCAGGAATTCATCGTTAGGAACCTAAGGAGTGTCATGGAGAACAATCTGCTCAAATCATGTTTTCCTACCATCCCCTATTGTTAGAAAAAAAAAAGTTAGCAAGTACCCAGTTGTCTCTACTACACACATCACATTCCTGCGTTCTTTTCAAGTAAAGCCTACTTCCTCTCCCAAAACACAAGGATGTTTCGAGACTGCAGCAAGTGATTTTTTTTTTTTTTCCAAATACAAGGCAATGTGTCCTGTCTTGGTACAATAGAGGGATAACAGGACTTTTCCATCCAGGCTAAGGTCTACTGATTGTGACCTTGGCCAAAGCACAGGAACTTGTTTGCCAACTTTAACTGGAACATTAGAGTTGCCTCTATCCCACTTCGTGTCCTCCAAGGAACCCAGAAACTTGGACTGAAGTATTGTCTAAGGTGTCTTCAAACAGCCCAGGCTGCCTGGAGCTACATGCGCAGGCAGGCACCAGAGGGCTCTAGGCTCTACCAGCTTCCTTCCCCTGTGGCTTGGGAACCACCAGGAGACAGGAGTACCCACTGGAGCTGGACAGGCTTAGTGATTCTGGCAGAGAGCAGGCTGCAGGGGATTCCCCAGAACTCAGCCAGCTCCTTCAATAGACCCATTTCCCTGATTGTTCTCAGCAAATCTCTACTGGTCATATTTTCCCAGCAGGAAGGAAAGTCGAAAAAGTCCTTACCTGGACAGAGTCCTTACATGTAAATCTCTAGCAAAAACACCCTAAGCAGAATGGTAGTGTACAAATGCCGGGGGGGGGGGGGGGGGGAGTAGAATGGATACATACATACATATATATATATATGAGTGTGTGTGTGTGTGTGTATGTATGTATGTATATAATTTGATGTAATTTAATGCTCCCAAGTCTCTTTCTTTCAGCATTATCATCTACCAGTGAGCGGGACATTTAAATTATTTTGCGATTTGTTGGTTTTTAAGTTCTTTCTTTTTGCACTGGCCCTGCAGGCAGAGACACCCACAAGCAGAGCGGTAAATTGGTGACCTGGATGCTCTGGGGCCACTTCAGGACTGGTAGGGCGAAGATACAAAAGGGCAGGCACCACATGGAATGCAACAACAGACTGGGCCAGGGCGGATTGGGGGTGTCCTCCGACCCGGGAGGTTGGGCGGGGAGGGGCGCCCCGCCCCCTCTCGACTGGTTTCCACCCAGAGTCACCCCTTCCCCAGTTCCTCAGACCCGGCCTGGTTATAGGATTAGCAGGTCTGTCTGTCTTGTGCAGCTAGTGGAGACAGGCCAGCAGGGGATCCCTAAGTCTCTCCTCTCGCCCTGTGCACCCCCTGGATGATCCCCACCACCCCTTCGCGCCCAAGGCAGTCAGTGGCCATCAAGAGGGAAATGGTGTGGGCGGCGATGGGAGGAAGGGGTCCCTGCCTCGCGGGGGCCAGCAACACCTCTGTGCAGCGAATTAGCCAAGGGAAACAGGCTGTCCCGGTGTCGCGCGGGGGCAGGAGCGGGACAGGAGAGCGACGGGCGGGGACCGGAGGCAAAGTGGCCGCCGCGCATCTCGGACAACTTTGCCGCGAAAGCGGGCGACCTCGAGTAGAGATTGGGGGGACCGGGGCGGGGGAGGAAGGCGACCTCCAATCCGGGGCACCGAGGAGCCTGGGGTCCTGCAGCCCAGATGCCACTAACCACCCGCGAGGAGAGCGACCGGGTGGCCTCCGGCGGGAGCCACGGCGCGGAGGGCAGCCCCGCGCGGGAGGGCAAGGGACAGCCGCCGCCTGCGTGTCCGCGGCCCTGGGAGGGGCGCTGCGCCGGGGGACACCCCGCCCCAGATGCCCCCTCGCCGTCCCGCGGGACCGGCGACTACTCCAGCGACGCCGGGAAGCGGCGGGCAGAGCCCGGGATGCTAGCGCGGCAGAGCGGAAAGCCAGCGCCGCCGCCGCCGCCGCCGCCGCCGCAGGACCACGTACCTTGAGCTCCTGGATGTCCAGGTCCGTGGATCTATCCATGGAGCGAAACTAAAGGAAGTGGAGAGGAACCGGTCAAGTTGCTCCCCGAACCGATCTTTTAGTCTTTTAGTTTCCAGCTGAAACTCAGCTTTATCCTCCTCCAAGCCCTGGCAGCTTCTCTCAGTCTCATTCTCCGTGGTCTCGCCGCCTCCGCCGGTTTAAAAAAAAAAAAAAAATGATATAAATAAATAAATACTAATGGTAATTCACTTTGTTTTACTTCTTCAAAGATTTAGGGACAGGTGATCTTTACCGCGGTCCACCACGGCTCAGTCGAATCCAGCAGAGGAGGGGGGAAAAAAATTCCACTCTATTTCAGATTATTTCTTCTTCTGCAATAAGCTTAGAAACCAGCGAGTTGCTGCATCCCAAGAAAAAAAGCTGCTTCCCTGGACAGCATCATGCGGCAAAATTCAAGCAAATGTGTTCAAACTGGAGAGAAGAGTATGTGATAAAAGCCTTCCTCCGTCAGGCATACTCTGGTAGCTAATTTAGCACGCTGTGAGTCCCAGACATTAGCAATCATCAATTTCCCTGGCAAGATAACTGAATCCCCGAAGTCCTGCATAGACTTAAAAAATGTCTTGTAGCTAAGAGGTATTCTCTCAGTGGGGAAAAGACGGTAATAAAGTCTGAAGGGACCGTTCTCCTTTGAAGGTTATGCTAAAAGAGTTGAGAGAATAGGAGGTTGCTCCCACAGAGAGAAAAGAGGGAGAGAAGAGAGAGGGAGACAGCAATTTTCCTCCCGCTTTGCTGTTTTACTGGCCTTCACCACCAGGTGACTGACTTCACTTCTCCCTTCCCACAGCCAGCACTAAGGGGATTTCTCTCATCTGTCAAAAAGCAACATTTCCTCTTCAGACAAATACAGTCGCTGGGTCTTAAAGACTGCCCTCTGTCCGGAATCTACTAGGTGACAGGCATTTTAATTCGCTTCTGCTCTCCCAGCTTCTTGCTCGGAAGCACTGGGAGACAGACATAGGCTTGCATGTATCGTTTTTTTTTTTTCAGGCATTCAATTAGATCTCGGCTGTAGCCAACTAGATCTCAGGTGTTTAAATGTCAGGTTGCTTTTACCTTAAATACTAATTTTTAAATGGTGAGAAGTAGGATTGCTAAAGATTTCTTTCCACGATTTACCTCATGATAATGTAGGTTTTCTGCAGGTTTTTTTCTTTTTATTTCATTCTAACAGGTCAATGCATTGCACTTGAAATCTGTAAATGTGGAGGTAGGGGCTACTTTGCTTCACTTCCATATTTCACTGTTAACCCCTTGATTGATTTTAAGGGATTCAGTCTCTCTTTATTGTAGCATATAAAAAAAATTCTCAAACTTCAAAATGCTTTCAGATTTCAAAAAAAAAAAAAAGAGCAATGTAGATTCTCTTGTTTCAAAAAAAACAAATCTTTTGAAAAAAATTAGATGCGCTTCTATCTAGTGTTCTGGACTCCTTCTTTAACTTCATTTTTATACTTCACTTCTGAGTTCCAGCCACCTGGTCTACCGACGTGTGTGCCATTTCTTCCACTTTCAGCTAATACATGCTGCTGCCTCTCTGTCAAGACATCTCTTTGCTCCTCTGACTCTATATGTTTACCATCCCCCTATTTCCGTCTAATGCCACTTCCTCAGAAGAGATTTTTCTGTGAGTGAGTCCCTTGGATAGTCTCTTCAGTTATCTTGTTATAGCAGAACCTCAATTTATCATCGTTGCAAATATATCATATATGCATTGATTATCTGCTTTGATTGTGTGACATCCTCAATAACCAATATGGTATTGAGGTATTTTCTGTACCAATCTGATTTCACCGGTACATTGAGAGTCTAGCAGATGATAAGCATACAAATGTGCAGTAAGTAGATAAATGTGTGTAAGAAGACTTAAAGGTTAAGATTCTAATACCTAGAAACCCTGATTTCTCCTTCCTCCCTTCATTCGCACTTATATATATATATATTTTTTTTTACCCATCTACTTTGCAGCTAAGCCTGCAGGCTTGGCTACTTTAGGCCATTTCTATTTCACATGTTTATCAAAACTATCTTTCTTCTTTGACTTCTGCCTACAGCCTTCAGAGATAACATCAAATAGGCAATAGTCCATAATTAGTGGGCTTAACATCAAATCTGAAAATGAATATTACATGTCCTGTTTACATAATTATCTTACATAATATATGATGGGAAAAAAGAAAGTTGCACATTGCCAGTACATGAACTTATATAAAACATTAACTCCTTAAAGAGCTGCTTTTCTGGAAAGTGTCAGTGATTCAACATGAAAATAGATAATAATTTTTAAGTCAGAAATTTCATATGAAGTACTTATATATTCCCTATCAAATACTGTCTATATTTAGGAAAGAATAAAACAAGATGATGTACATGAATGTATTTTCAGACATGAAGAGGATTTTTAAATTTGTAATCGTAATGTGTACCTCAAGGAAGATTATTATTATTATATTATATGTAATATAAGTATTATCATTCTATTATACTATTATACTTATCAACAGAGATAGTTAAATTGCATTTTTAAGACCTATCTATGGTCAGAGACTGGTATATGCATTATGAGCACATATACAATAACTTAATTTTTAGTGAGTTTGAAATTCAAAACCAAGTATGTCCAACATTTGATGTTGGTGCAACCTCCATTTTTATGAGCTACAGAAGCTATTGGTGACCTCTAAATCAGCTATATATTGCATCTAATTAAATGGTGATGTAGTCAAAGACTACCGAGTCTTTAATAGCTAACATGAATTTCCATATAAATTCACTAGACTATTCCTAAAACTCTAACAATGATAGTTAATAACAAAAGGGATGCCATTTGCTAATCTATATTTATATTACATTTCAAGGCAATCAGGACTTCATTCTACTTTATCTGAGCAATAACTAGATGAAGTAACTATCTGAAAACTGAATTGACTTTACACTTAGAATCAGACAAGAATAAGGATGTAAAATTAGAAAAAAACATATTTTCTGGATGTCCTAAACCACAACTCCAACAATAAGGAAGCTACCCATGATGGTGAAGGAAAAAATAACCCTGGCACATAACAGAGTATCTGAAAGACACATCATTCAGTTTAGCAAAGATGTGCAATTCAAAACTGCACAGAGTGATTACAATACCCAAGCAAGTGGGAGGCAGGGTGAAAACACCTGCAAGTCCTGAGATTTTACATTTCAGGTTCACTCATCCATAGATACATTCATCAATGTCACCTTCAACCATAGGTATTAAAGCAGATGTAAACCTGCCATCACGAACATCTTTAAATTACAGAAGTAGGCTACTTGTAAATCAATATGCTTTTTTTCCAGTCAACAATATAATTCTTATTCATCTGTGGTATAAAATCACTTACAGAGTTTTAAATTTTGTAAGCCTTTATACTCCTTTCTTCAAACCCTCTTGCCAAATTTGCAATTTTATGCTTTTATTTGGATTTTCATGCTGCATTACATAGCAAGGCAAGATTTTATTTCCATGTTTTGAAATTATTAAAAGGAGAGGCAATGCATCATGATTTATTAAAATACACTATTAAATAACCTGTTTTCATAGGTTGTTCATGTTATGTGTACTGAACAGCACTTTTATTCAAAATGCTTATCACAGAAGGGATTAACTCATAATGATATTTTTCCATGAAGTTTTTAAAATTATATATATATATATATATAGTATTAGTTATTTTAACTTTGCATAAGCACATGTGTTAATATGAGGATTGAGGAAGAAATAAATTAAATGAGCTGTTGATATTGTGACTTGAATAAAAAATATCCTTCATCTTTTCCCCAAAATTAATCACTTCTGATTAGAACATAGATATACATTTTAATAGAAAATAAGGCTAAAATTCATTTCTGTTAGCCTTCAACACAGAACTTATGCATCTACTCTAATTTTTTTTCTCTAAAGGAAAAAAGGAAAATAGAACTAGTATCTCAGGTGCAAATATAAAGCAAAAAAGGAAAATGAGAAAACAAAATGAAGCGAAGGATAAAGCGTGGACAGAGGTGATCCAGCTGGAAGGGAAAATAAAGATAGAATGTCCGATCAAAGCTACCAAAATGCTGAGGCTGGTGAAACGTTTCTTTCTTGTAAATATAATGACACAAAGTCATTGACAAAGGCGTCTTTGTACTTGATGATTCTAGTCAACTACTCACCCAGTTGACTTCAGAAGTACCTGAGTCATGAGAGGACTTGTGCTTTGCACAGCAGAGATTACAGAAGTCTACAGAGACAGCAGAATATTTCTTTCTTTGCAAACTTACTGAGTGTGAAGATTAATATTAGAAGTCTTCCAAATATATCAGAAAAGCTATTCTTTACTGGAGGTACGAATCATGAACACTGGTAATTATAGTTTGCTGTTTCAAATGAAACCTACCTCAAAAGGCACAACCTGTAGAGCATAAGAACTAGAAATATTACAAGTCTGCTCACAGATGCAAGATGGAGTCTTAAGGACAAACAGCACAATTAGAATGGACATTATAATTAATGACATATGAATAACAGTTAAGAATTTAACATAGTAGCAACAGGGAAACTGATGCTAGCCCATATCAAAGAGTGTGATGTCAGAATTATAAAAACACAAGGAAATGAAAAGAAATGCTCTCAAAACATTTATAAAAAATGACTATTGATTTTAATTGCCCAATTCTCTGAAAAAATTTACATGCCAAATAAATGACATTAATAAAAAAATCTCTATTCTGGGTTGAGCAAACTTACTATTGGACACTGGACCAACCTTGTTTACAAAAAAGGCCTTTTGCTCCATTACTTGTAATGACTATATAAGATGGGTGTTTTCAATTAAATATCAGTTCAATTATCCTGCAAAAGTCATTTCTATAAACAAGATTAATATAAATGTTTAAACCACAATTTGAAACTAAAAGTGGTATATGGCAGTTAATCTTGTCATGAACTTGATGGGATTTAAAACCATCAAAGTATTCCTATGAGAGCATGTCTAGATTAGGTTGATATATTAGTTACTTTATTATCCCTGTCGCTACAACACCATGAGCAAGGAAACTTGTAAAAGTTTATTTGGGACTTCCATTACCAGAGGGCTAGAGTCCAGAATGGCAAATTGGGTGTAGAAGGCAGTGGGTGACTAGAGCAGCAGCTGAGATCTTAAATCTCCAACCTCAAGCAGGAGGAAGAAAGTGCTGACTCAAAATGGCATGAGTCTTTTGAGACCATGTTACACACTTCCTTCAGGGAGGCCACACCTCTTTTTATTTTATTTATTTTATATCCTGAGTAGTTCCCCCTCCCTCCTCTCCTCCCATTCCCACCACCTCTCCTCCACTCACTCCTCCTCTGTTAATGTTCAGAAAGGGGCAGGCCTCCTATGGGTATCAGCAAAGCATGGTGTATCAAGTTGTCTTAGGACTAAGCTCCTCCCCTTGTATTTAGGCTAGGCCAGGCAATCTAGTATGAGGAATAGGTTCCTAAGAGCCAGTCCAAGCATTAGGGACAGCCTCTGTTCCCACTCTTAGGAGTACTACAAGAAGACCAAGCTATACAACTGTCACATATGTGTAGAGGGCTTAGGTCCAGCCCATGCAGGCTCCCTGGTTGGTGGTTCAGAGTCTGTGAGTGCCTATGATCCAGGTTAGCTGTTTCTGTGGGTTTTCTTGGGGTGTCCTTGACCCCTGTAACTGCTACAGTCCTTCCTCCCTCTCTTCAGCAGGATTCCCGAGCTTGGCCTAATGTTCGGCTCTGGGTCTCTGCATCTGTTCTCACACCTGTTTGGTGAGGACCAAACAACCACAGATTGGAGACCAAGTATTCAAATGCC